GGCCTTCCCTTGTCATGACGTTATAAATGAAGGAGACATAATGTCTGAACTTGACTCAAAGTGTTGAATTGGTTTTCATAGCTTGTCTCTCGTCCAAACAGATTTTAATGCTAAAGAAGGCCGAAGACAAAAGTAATCCCAGAGATGATGAACACGGCCAACATCACAGCAACATCAAAAAGCCCAGTAAACACCTGACAGCTGACTGGTAGCCTATGTCACCATCTTCAGTCTCCTCTGAAAGTGCAGCAAACGTCTTGTCAAGTTAACTATTTTAGTTAAAACATCAACAATATGGTTGATTTTTAGCACATACCAATTTCAGTTCTGGGTTGATTTCAGTCACTTTTATCTGGACATCACCTCTGTGAACAAAGCAGTCCTGCCTAGTCCTAATCCAGCCCTAATCTAAAGCTCTGTCATTATCCAATATTTAAAGATGAGTCACTGGGCTGTGTTGTAGACATCAGAGGTTTTGTCCAGAACCAAAATGATCGCGTTTGTTTTTCATCTGAAGCTCCAGATGTCCTGCAGTGTCCTCGGTGTGTTTTGTTACTGTTCGCCTGGCGAGGGCCACATTCTCATTCTTTGTTTTTTCAGACACTCTTTGATAAACTCCTCATCAGAGAATGTTGTGATGTTTTCTGTGATTCTGTGGGGAATCACAAAGCTGACTGTGACGGCTCCCAGGATGTGTAAAGCTTGGTACAACCGTTCCTGCTCTGCATTAGACAAGCTCTTACATTTCTGTGTGCTCTTCCCTAACTGATCACACACTCATCCGACTTTAATAAATTAATACTTAGTCCATGTCCATGTCTTGGTAAAAATTCAAACGTTAGCGTGTGCTGGCATCCATCTCAGACGTCTGTTACAGTGAAGCTGCATTCTCTTGGACATGCACAATAAAAATAGGAGTCACTTTAAAAATAAAAGAAACAAAAGTTGTGTTGTGATTTCCCACAAAATAAACACAGAAAGCCAGTTTCTTATGGGGAGTTTGCCAAAGATGTTTGGTGGCTGAAATGAGACAAATTGCATGATGTGCGCTGATCTCTCCAGCGTAGGTTTGTAATAGAGACACTCTTGTTTCTGCAAGCCTTTTTCTGCTGCTTACATATGAATGGCTGTGAGAGTCCCTCGTATGCCACGGCTGCATTGGACATGTATGGATCATGTCTAGCCTCCAGGCAGCAAACTGGGTTAAAGGTCAAATTTTCAGGTCAGTAACCAGCCGCCTGTGCATTTTATTGCTATGTCAGCTACATGATAACATTTTTTGCAAATCTAAGTTGCAGTTTGACGGTTTTTAATACGTACAAGCTCCAGGCAACAGTAAATACTAAAACCTCTCTCAGGATTTTAGTGTGTTCTGCCACGAGCAGCGCTGCCTCCACCCCTCCATCACCCATACGATTTCATATGTGAAGTTATGTACTGTGTGTGTGTGTCAGAGAGAGGCCGACCATATTTATGTGTTAGTGTTAATGACATCATAACACAGGATGTTGTTGCCCAGGCACTTATTGCTGGCTCAGCTATGTAGTTTGGCTGCACTGTGACCTTTGACCCCCAGCGAGTGCTTGGCACCACCTTCCTGAGTCATTACATTCACACTGAGCCTGTTTTACCTGTGAACCCATCCACTCCCGCCTCCCTCCATTACTAATCAGTTAGACGTTAGAGTAATTAGATTATATCTGATGGGCCCAAAACAGCTGTGCGCGCATGTGTGTGTGTGTGTGTGTGCACTTGTGTGTGTGTGTGCGTGTTTGTCAGGGTGATTAGTGGCCTAGGTAATGATCTAGAGGGGCCACACCAAATTAACAATGCAACCTCTTTAATGAGCCCCTATTAGCCCTGCACTCAGATTTTACCACCCATCGTCAAATGGACACGCACACACGTGTACACACGCACACACGTGTACACACGCACACACACACATGCACACACACACACAGTCCCAATGCCATCTTCTTTAAATTGTAAAGAAATAAGAAGTATTTGGACTTTGACTCAGTGTCTCTGCTTTGCCTGCACACATCACTGTAGTGGGTGTTCAATCAAACAATCAGGTACAGGCTTTCATCTTTAATCCAAATGTTTAGGAGTTTTTGCTGGTTTTTAGATGAAGTCCAGGACTTTTCAGAAACCCAAATGTGATTGGACACATTGCTCTTGCATAATTATAAGTGTAAGGATGGATCGTTGAAGCCTTGGTAACACGTTGTAGTGAGTACTCAGCTGAAATGTAAATGTTAACACCGAATGTTGCATTTACTCAGACGGGCAGCTTCATTTCTTTTTCTGCTTTAATTTTTGTCTTCACTGAATGAAAAACGTGTTCCTGTTGGGTCGAGAGGTGAGGGGTGAATTAATGGTCCTGCAGGATCAAAAGTAGAATCCGATGTATGGATGGCTGAGAGTTCGTCTTTGTTCCTCCCCTATCATATCCATTTTCCTCCCTCTCCTAATTTCCTTGATCACAATAGCATTTCGGTTCCTCTCACTCTTTTCATCTCTGCCAGTGGATCACATTTATCATTTTTTAGCATTTCCTCTTCTTTCTTTTCAATTCTTCTTGACTTGGTCCACTCCTTCTGTTTCCCATCTTCCCGTGTCCCCTTCTTTCCACTTTCTCATTCCACCTCTCTGTCTTGTTCTGTCATCCTGATTATCAGTCCTCTTATCCCTCTCTCTGCTGTCAGTACACTATCGCTCTCTTTCTCAAATTAACATTTTAATTACAGGCCCTGCTTAACCTGGGAAAATCAATACCTCTTCCTGCCTTTCCTCTCTTTCTCTTTCACTCTTTTTTTCTTGCACCCTGTTAACCCCCCGCATTTGTGTCTTTCTCTAACAACCCAGGCAGGCGC